TAGTATTCTGTTTCAAAATTAGGTTTAAAGAATTTTTATTTGACTTCCTAAGGCCAAAGTCTGTTATCTGCTGTAGCTTTCATATCAGAGCTTTATAACTTGATTGATAAACATTGAATTAAAATAATAGTAAAGGACACTATGTAGAAAAGGGGGGAAAATGACTGAAAAAGGCCATTTCTGACCTTTGACTTTACATCATTCATATATCCATAACTATCAACAGTTATATATAAGGATAAGATACAAGGTGAAAGGTCAGAATGACATTTTCTGTAACTTTAGTACAAAAAATGATGTTTCATTAGAAAAAATAGAAAATTGTATATTATGAACAATTTGAGACCAAACTCAAGTCTGCATCACTAACAGTTATGGCGATGGATAATCAAGGTCAAATGTCAGAAAGTGCATTTCACTTCATTTTTGAAGAATGTGTTATTAGAGCAAATAAAAACTTGTATATTATTAACAGTTTGATACTAAGCTCAAGCCTGTATGGCTAACAGTTATAGAGATATGGGGGGTAACTAAGGGGGTCAGAAAAGGTCATTTTTGAAGAAAATGTTTCATTAGAACGAATAGAAACTTGTATTTTATGAACAATTTAAAACAATTAATTACTAGGTAGTTAACCTTAAGTTTAACGTTAGTACACAACATGCAACGCGATAGCTCCGCCCCTTTTGTAAACAAATCGAAATACGTATGCGCAAACCCTAACTAACTTTTCGAGCACGTAAAATCCTGAAATTAACGTATTCCGCAACGCAAGATGAATAAATTATGACATCATCCGTTATTTTTAAGGTTAACGTCGTGCGGTGAAAACTACCTATTATAAGTGGCTGTATTCCTGGTCCTGTTCTGATTGGTCAGTTTTTAAGTTTGATTGACAAAGAGCGCTGAGGATCATTTCATGAAAGTGTTATGATAATGAAAGTCAGGTAAAACCATAACAATCGTTCTATTTTTTTAAGCAATAAATTACATTATGATGATTAAAGTACCTACTTGGTATCTCAATATTATGGTAGCATCCTTTGCGGAACGGTACTACAGGATTCATGTACGATACTGGGGATTTATTTCCTGATTGTGAGGTTAGATTACCGGAAATGTAAATTGACCATTTCGACGTTTGTGGTTCCTTCAATCGAAGGAACGGGCTCATACACCTTTCCGCTAAACTAAGAAAAGCAGAAATGAACGTAGTTAATAGAAAGTAAATCTATTGAAAAAGATGTTGTAAATTGCCTGTATATTTGTCCGTACCGCGAAATCTTATGACCATGTAGGCTACTATATGTCGATCTGCTTATCGCATGGTGTACGCAGGGAGAGATGTCGTGACTCCTTAAGCCTGTTTTCTACTAAGCGAATTCATTCGCGCGAATCAAAGCATCGATTCGCTTCCTAAGCTCTGATTGGTTAGGCATTTTTTCGCTTTTTTCGCAATCAGAGCTCAGAAATTGTACCGAAGATTTTATTCGCACGAATAAATTCTAGTGGGAAACAGGCTTTAAGCCAGTTTTCCACTAAGCGAATTTATTCGCGCGAATCGCGCGAATAAAAAATGCGCAACCAATCAGGGCTCAGAAATGGAACCAACGCTGTCGATTCGCGCGAATAAATCGCATAGTGGAAAACAAGCTTTATATATACACCAATTTCTGTTTTATTATCAGTATTAGACATTTTTAAGCTGCGTTGTGCTTCACAAAATGACTAGGTTAGGATGTTTATATTGTCAACCAATGATACTACTGAACACATTGTCTGTTTTCAAATTGCATATAGCCATAATTTAAAGAGAGAAAGAATGAAAAAAAAATCAATAAATAGAATATAAAAGATTTCAAAGAGTATTTGTCGCATTCACGAATGTACCAACTGTCAGACGCCTTTCCTTTTCTCCGATAAAATATTGGACTCCAGCAGTCTGGCACGGTCAGGTTGACAGGTGGTTTAACTATAAAGGTGTGGATTCTAATTTACTTTGTCAAATGCACCGAGTTTTCTGCATAATGCATTAACCTGTTTCGGAAATATATTATAATTGGGAAAAATGATATAAAACTCAATTTCAAAACTATAGTGATCATTCCGTGTATTAATATTTGATAATAGAAATGATCCAAAATATCTAAAAGAATTGAGAAATACCTTTAAATTATGTCAGTATTTACTGAAACCAATAAACGTCGGGTTTGAGCGACATAGTGATATTTTATGCAAATATACACATAATAAAGTTTGTTGTCAATAAGCCTATAGGTCTATAATTTATACACTAATTATGATTTACTGACATTCCCATGACAATACTGTGATTTATGTGGCTGCACGATCATCATTCTACTATAGGCATAAGCCATTAATAAGCACCGTATTCAAATAAACACATAATATATATATATATATATATATATATATATATATATTATATGATTGATGATCTGTCTCTTATACACATCTAGATGTGTAATGACAAATTGACATATCTAATATGTATACCGTTACTCGTGTGGACATACAGCCATGCACGTTTAATTGTGCGTTCAGAGTAATTAGAATTGATTATTATTGGCAACTCTTATGTTGTACTTACTAGAATTGAAATGCTTTGGCTTCGAGGGATAAATTTGTAGTACCTCGTCCTACCGTCCATTTTCTGTATGGATTGTACGCCAGGTTTTGGAACTTTAGGAGTGCAACCTTCTTAGATGTTTTAACATCGCAGATATAAATATCCCCTTCTTGGCGTTTCGTCCCTTTTCCTGTATAATCATTTTTATCGCTTCCACCTTCCCATTGTAAACGATACATTATTTTTATCTGTTAATAAATTTTCAAAAATAGAATAACATTACTAGGTTTATTTGTACAATACAAATGTTTGCCCATTTTTTTTACTTGTAGAAATATAATAAAAACTAGGCCTAAATATTCTTGTCAAGTAGTGAAAGTCTATTTGTTAATAGGGATTAGTAGTTGTTTTTACGTAGCACTTACTTTCATCACTCAGACTCACTGAATATAATACTGTATACTAGTATACTACTGTATACTAGCCTAGTACTGTATATCAAAAAAGAAAATGATGCAAACACAACGGGAAATACAAACATAAATATAATAATTTATCCAATTATTTATTATCACAATAAATGTCCAAGAGATAATAGGAGAATAATGAAGAGGTCTGGGAATAGTGCGGCCTAATCGTGGCCATTCTTCTTATACGCATACAAAATTGGCCTATACTTATACAATAGTTACATTATAAATAAAAGTTCAGGACTACAAATGAAAAAGCTCTACTCACCTTCTTGTTTATTATTTGTTTCCAATAAACGTGTCCACCAACTATTTCGCTTGACACACAGGTAACACAGAATATGGTAAGGAACGCTAACGAAACAACTGCAGATGCTCCACTACATTTGTTCGCCATGTCTATTATGTAATATTAATTCAGAATTCGCTGAATGTTTCTGGATAATTACTTTGCTTACAATTTTAGTTTTTCGGGTATTTCACCTTGTAATAACTCCTTTTATATAGCATTCATACGTGTATTATCTATACAGACAGTTTCCGCCGACTTCGGATAATAGTGTGAGCTCATCAAACACTTTCTGTGACGTCACTAAGCCAGATACATGATAATTGGCTACCCAATGCCAAATCTAATATACTAATGACGTAAAGTATAATATTTTCATAACCACAATTTGAGCATAAGAATTCATTTTCATTTTTCCAGGTTTAATGTAAGGTATATAATGTGGAAGCGGTTTGGCGCAGCTAAAAATGTTCGGTTTCCCAACGTTGAAGTCAGGGTTTCAATCCCTCGTTGTGCACTTTGTTCTGTGTCCTTGGGCAAAGCCCTTTATCTACATTGCTTCTTTCCAGCCAGGAGTATAAATGGGCACCTAAGATGACAGCAAAAATACCTAAGCATGTGGACCTAATGCCCAGGAAAAGTAGCGCTGTATATCTACAAAGAAAGGCGATATATATAAATAACGAATAAATGAATAAAATGTATAGGTCTATGTAAATATTCAAAATTAAGGATGAGAAAGAATTGAAAATTTAAGTTTGACTTTTTGCCTATTAATAAATATAACATTTATTTATATGATTGATGATATTAGATATGTTGAAATTTAATATCAAATAGTTAGTGTAGGACTACGCTTCCGTTGTTGAAATATGGACGGAATAGTTATATCACCTCTAGGGAGATGAAGTAATTAAAATGATTAGATAAATGCATTTTCCAAGCAACAACATAAATAATTCATACATGTCAATTTCGGTGATAGTTCATAAAAAAATCTGTTTATTGAATATGTCGTCTAGTGCATTTCTTTGGTGCAGTTGCTTATAACATTAGATGGCCTACCGTTTGTGGTGAAATTTAGATAATGAGTCAAAAATTACTCATTTTAAAGAAAAGCTATCAAACGTCAAAAAAGACACACATCAAAACAATTTATTTTCAAGCTCAATAAAAATCGAATCCAGTTTTTGCTGTATAATTACAGATTTTTTTTCTACAAAGATTCTTAAATTAATGTTTACGCCCCTAACAATTACAAAGAAGAGTTTTCTTTAAAACAATCGTAAACAAATTCTCCATCAACTCTCAAATCTAATACAGATTCTATTACCACAAACAATAGCTTGGTTTCAGAAAGTTTCAACATGAAAGGTGGCATACGACAAGTATGTTCTCTATCGGCTTTATACTTTTGGTTGTTAAATCAGTGGCTATTAATATTCGAAACAATGTTAAATGTAATGGAATAAGCTTACCTTCAACGGAACATGATATCTATCAAGATATGATTATCTTAGCGAAAGGAATGTGGATTGGATCTAGCAAAGATAATATTAGGAAAAACATTTGGAATTCACTAGTACAAAAACCGATAAAATGTTTATCTATCTTTGTTGGATACGATAATATCATGATGTCTATCAAGATATGATAAACTTGGCAAAAGATGTGCAGTGGGCCTAGCAAAGATAATACTAGGAAAATACTTGATTTCAATGGGTACAAGAACCTGTAAAATGTAATAAATTCTACTTGGTAATGTGAGTAATTCAAACACTAGTGCTATCCAAAATAACCGACAATTATAGCAAAATGTGGCAAAAAAATATGATGTAAACAGAAATATTTTGAAGTTTCTTTGGTATGAAAAACAAGAAATTTAATTTCAAATTATTACATAAAATACTTCCAACAAATGAAAAACACTTGTACTTTGGAAAATGAATCGAACAGACGTGTATACATCATGTAACGTAATTGAGAATGACGTGCACTTGTTGGAAAAAAGTGAAATTGGAAAATCTTTCTGGAAGAAAGTTTGTTAACATTTTACTCCATTGAAATATTTTAATAATTGCATAATTGTTTATTTAAAATAATCACAATAACATAAATAATATATGCATTCCAAATATGGAATTATTCTGTTTATTTTTAAGCAAGGTATTGGTAGAACTGCCTTAATGGAAATCAGTTTATAATATGCTTATTACCTAATTAAAATTCCAATATAATTTGTAACATAGTTACAGATGGAGAAACAATAATCTTAAAAGAACATTTTGAATATGCAAAAGAAAATAGATAACTGTAAAAAACAAAAAAGAATTATATGTATGCACATGGGTTAATCATAGTGCATTAACCATTTATCGAAAAATATGAATTTGATGGATATAATAATGAATAAAAGTGGTGGTTTACAACAAAAGACAAAAACAGTATCGGTACATTGTTTCAAGAAGTTAATTGTAATGGCATTAAGCGAACAGATTTTAACATTAATGTTAAATCTTTTGAGTTGAATTGGATCAAAGGGCTTTAAGTTTTAATTCCAGTTCAAGGAAACGTACATAAAGATAATTCCAGAATTTTATAGAGAAATTATATCGATATGTGCGCAATACGATACTCTTCTTGAACTTGTTAATACATATATCTCCGTTAAGTGATTACTTTGAGACAGTTTTTTTTTAACTCCACTTTGATTCCTATGTCCGCATTTACACATTTTCTTTTTACACACCTTCAAAAACTATTTGAATAAATTTTACTCTGATAGAAAAATGTGATGGTATTAAGCTTTACAAATGTTACATTAATGTTAAATCGTTTAAGTTAGAATGAATCAAAATGCTTTGAAGTCCTGTTCCAGGAAAGTGGAAATATATTGCTCACATCATGATTTATTTGATGTTCTGAAATTTTATAGAGACATTATGTGCGTAATACAATTGTATATTTTGTTGTATTGAACCAAACTATTTGTTCGCAATGTTATTTCGTCCTTTTCCTGATATCAGCAATGACAGTAGAGGGTGTTAAATGGTTGCCACATACAAGTCTACCACTAAACCTATCTGTTATAACAATTAACTTTCTAATATAGAGTAAGTGGAAACGATATGCCTGAACAAGACTATCGTTGAATATAGCATTAGAACACTTGCATTATGATAGTACAGTATTATGATAATAGATAGATGATACAGTATCATATAAGCTAGCACACATTGTTTTCATAATATCTCATTCCCTGTGGTCTCTGCTAATGGAGCCTGGCTCGTTCGGCCGTCAGTTGATAAAGAATATTTTGTTTTTCAAAGCTTATTAATTCGCTCCAATAACACGATTACCTTACGAATACGAAATGGGCTAGGCAACTAAATGAGCATCTTTAAAAGAAATTGATTTTCTTTACGTTAAAGTCTTATATAAGCATTTGGGTTTTATTAACGAAATTTACTAAATTGTTAGCCGAATAAAGTTGAAAATCAAATATTATAATTCAATTGCTTATTTTGTATTAAAGTAAATTACTAGCGTTTATTTGAAAGTTAAGAGTGAGAAAATATTAACAAAGGCATAAGTATTCGTTAAATTGACTGGTATACAGTGAAGGATTTTGGTATAGTGAAAATGTCAAATTGATTTGTGTAGATCTGGTTGCAGTAGAAGTTAATATACACCTATGAGTTTATCCTCTTAATTAACAACCTCAATAGCCGATAGTCTGTCACATATAATCATTAATTATGATATTCTAATCGCAATCATCTCAAAATAGAAACTTTCTTTGTATGATGCACAATTAAAATTTGCACAAAAGCAACGAAATAATTAATACAACTTATATAATCACATCATTGACTTTATTCGATCATATAACACATGCTATACAAAACACTTAACATATTATTTAACAATATTAATAATACAGTATGAGGAATTATAAGCCTTGATTTTATCGTTTCAATTATAAGAATACAAATCCATATTGTTGTTCATAGAATGTTTCTAGCCTTTGTAATATTTTTTAATACATCATGTGTATACCAAAATAAATATTGTAAAGTAATTAAAAGTTTAGCATTCTTTCTTGACGACCGGTTCCTAGCGGCCTAAATTGCACTCTAGCGAATATAACAGAGAGCAGGGACTTAGACGTGGGGGCAGGGACTTCGCATAATTTCCCACTCGCATCAACGTGATTCTTCCCCTACTAACGTTTTTGGATGATATTGCAACTTACAAAAAAAAACAAAAAAAAAACAATCCAATTAATATCATCATAATATTTTCACAATGATTTTATTTATATGCCAACTGTCGATCAAACCTTCATATTTTATCATAAGCCGATGTCATTTTAGCTTCACTTAATTAAGGAAACACATCTTGGGTTATACATCATTTAAGCAATCTCCTGATTTCTTTTATCCCTCCCCATATCAACAACGTGCTCTACAGTCGTTCATTAAATAACTGTTTCGATTATATAGACCTATATATAGGTCTATGACTAAAATGACACATATACAACTATAATCGGTAATTAACACAGCCATAATCATCAATATCCTCAACATCACATAAAAGTTTTGTGTCAGCAGAGATCCTCTTCAGTATTAATATCCTCAACACCAATATCATTATCAACATCATTATTATTATTATCAACAGCATCATCATCAACAATACTGTATCACCATCAAGGGAAAGTTTTACAGACAAGATGAGACGGCGCACCGGATACGTTACGATTTACATAAACGATTAACGTCAAATCCTAACAAAAACTCTACATTACGCGTACGAACATGATGCACATCAAACTCTACAACACACGTGCGAAACGCAAATAAGTCAAACATATTCATTCTCTAAGGTTTACGATACAATTTCTGTGATCTGCTAACAGAAAGAAGGCCTATGCGTAAACATTTCCTTGCGAAAACCTCCATCTATTTTTTACCGTGAATTTTCCGTTTTCCTATTTTGTTGTCTAACTTCTGTAATTACATTTTTTTCCAAAGCTTTATATCAATTCCATTCCTATTCAAGCTTAATGCAACTGTAATCGTTTATTATTGTAACCTACTGGCTTCAAATGCTTTGTTTGAGGTAAATGCATAAATGTATGTGACATGAGTCACATACGATAAAATGTTATAATGTAGTTAAAGTGTTAATTAAACTGGGAGATATATTTGTACCCACCGTGTAACAAACTGTGTTAAACATACTTTCAATATATAATATAATCTTTATAATTTTTATATACAAAAACGCAAAGAATTACATACATTCTTTGAACTGAAGTTCATTGAATTTAAGCCCCTTTGTACTTGTAACTAAATTATTAATTTTCCAGTAGTCCCACTCATTGCGAACTATAACATGTACTAAGTTGACCTGCTAGCTCAATTCACTCCGTATGTGCATGGCCACCATTTCACTTTTTAATCAAAAATCAAAACTTAATATCCTCGGGCACTGTTCCTAATATGTACATCTTTCAGCTACTGTACAAGAACATAATTAACAACATGGAGTATATAATTGATAATGAATACATAATTCTTATTCCAAATTACGAGAATAAAATATCAATATATTTGTTATTTATTAGGCCTAAGTATAATTATAAAATAGTATGCTTTTAAACAACTGTACACTTAACCAAATCCATTTAAAGTGATTGACTTACACTCGATACCTGTGACGGACAGGCACCTGCTGGGTCAATCATTTCCAACCGAATGCGATTTTTTTTTTGTTAAATTATTAGAATGGCTAAATTAGTTGTTCTAACCAACCCTCCCCCGAGATCATAACTTCTGTTTTGCTTGCGGTTTAAGCCAGTGATACGACAATGCGGTTTATGTCCACTTTAAAAATAATATAAACAATTCTGCGCATGCTTATTAAAATAATCTACTGAGCATACGCAATGGGCGTATGCTTAGTAGAACATTTTAGTACGGTATACTATTATTATCTCCTTTAAATGGTATTCAAAAAAATATATAAAACACAATATTTAGCACTAACATCCAACGACTTAAATTTCAGAAACATACTTTTAATTACACCTTAATTATTATACAAAATTATTAAAAAAAGATATTTTGAGTTTATCAAAGCTAAACTGATAATTTATATAAAGAAAGTATTTTTTTCTTTAAATCATGAAATATGTTGACAATTACAGATAAACTTGCGTATTAGTCCTATAATATCGTCCGGTCCACCAATAAGGCGTTATACGCCCGGTAGAATTTACAATTAAGGTGATAGGACATGTACCGGTACCTTTGATTGATGTCATATGAACATTACAAAAATTGTAGAGCATATAGTATTTATTCGTTTGCATTAAATTGTAAAATAACGCGTGTTGGTATAATGAACGATTTGTGGCACAATTAAAACCTACAATTACAACAATAGTCATTAACGTCATTACCCTCATTGGTATGAACTTTGCGTATTTGTTTATATACCTCAAAAGTCTATCTTTTTTTCCCTTTGGGATTCAGAAAATTTTACACATATAAATAACTACATATAAAACAGCATTGCATCATTCATCATACTTCTTCAATAACATCCCTTCTGGATGAACACATAATACATTTCCGCCATTCATCTGCATTTAGGTTTCAAGATTGGTCGCATGCATTACTTTTTCTTGACTTACTTATGGAATAATTACCAACGATAAGCAAGCCAATGATGACAGCGAGTAGAAACACAATTGTAAGAGAGAGACTCAGAACAACGATGCTCCTTGATTCTTTAAAATTCGTACCTGAAATAAGAATATAGTTTCCGTTACTATCGTTCAAACCCTCGCATTCAAAGTTGCTGTTTTACACAGCTGTCGTCATTATTTTCGCGTCCTGTGCACTATGAAAGCGCCTAGTAAAAGTTAGTCCACACAACAAACATCACAATATGCATGTGATAGCCAGATGTTTGCAGTTATTTCCAAAACTCATAGAAGTATGAATGTGGACTCGAAATTAATTAAGATGACTCGTGGACGAACCACTTTAACATGCATACCACACAACCCATTGAATAAAACGAAGTTATCTGTGCGTTTCACACGGCTAAATAAAAAAAAAAAACAACTACTGTCAGCAGGTATAATTTAACGGACAGTCCCACTAGGTGCCGCAGTTAGGATACGTACTAATACTAATATTCAACAAAACGAAAGCATAAGAGTATATTAAAACGTAGCTTGTGGGACATGCGCGTAATTATGATCCTTTTCTGATTGTTCAATTAATATGTTTGATTAACACTCTCTAGATGAATACTTAACTAAGTTAGGCCGATACATCGAGACCGCGACAGCCGGAGTGTACACCTCTTGTGATGAACTGTAAGCCTCCCATTACTAACTATTATAGGTCTATTGTTACATAGAAGGTATATTATATATGATCTGTACAGTACCTTCACTATTTCTCCTGATTCTAATGCCGCCTTGTGACGTTAATGTTCTATCTTTATTGAGCTCTGTTGACCGTTTATGAATTTTAGGTCCGGTTTTTTCTTGGCGTGAACAGTCGGCTATGCACTCACTACTAACATTTTTCATGTCACATAGCTTCACTTGGCAGTGAATATAAACCTAAAATCAAACAAAATTAAACATTAAGTATGCTTAGGCTAAATGAATATTATTATAAACTATTCTAATCGATACACATTTGGACTGCCTCCTTTAAGAAAATTTCAATTATAACATCACTGCTCCTTGATAACATTGAGTTACTTATCTAAGAAAGAACCAATAAGATATTAAATTTTAATATTAAGCACATTACTCAAAATAACACATTGCTAAAGGTATTTGGTTTAAAGCTATTGATAGTCAGTTAAACCATGAAGTTTACAATACTTACCATAGGTTCAACATCAAAGTCGACGAACGATAGCGCTTCGATAGAAAAACGAACCTCCGTCGTTGAAGGTGATGTGTGAAATGTTAAGGTTGGATCAAGACTACATCTGAAATGATAATATTTGAAAATTTAAGAATGATGATTAAGAAATGTTCCCTCCCCCCCCCCCCCATAGAGAAAGCCTTTTTTCTTATCATTTTGACTCGTGAATTTTGAAGTCGCGCATACATAGATAGAAATACAGGATGGTCGGGGCCCGAATTAATTATGACGTAAATTTGTGAGGAACTAAAATCAAAGATTCTTTGATATTTACACTTGTTAACTCTTTATCATCCATTTTGAATATTCAGTTGATCACAATGGACAATATTGTATGAATTTCCTCGCAACGAAAAGAAATTTTCTGCTTGGCTAATAAATTGTGATCCCGGGGTGACAGCAAGAATTTTTCTCGCGACTACAGACCACTGTACACCCCAAGCCTCGTAAAGAGACTTAGTTTATAAAGCATAAGTTACTGATCGATATTACACAACTGTACCGACTATTTATCTTACCCATTTTCGATGAAAGTATACGCTGAGTCTGCCGCTTGACGAATCGACGATGGGGACGCTATACAGCTTTCGATAAACAGTTGTAGCTCTGGTCGGGAGTAAAGACGCGTGCCGAAATATATACGGTCCTCCATGGCTATATCGGCGGGAAATTCGTCTTTAGTGTAACGGTACGATGAATCACGATACATGTTTAACCCGAATTCTAAGTTCCCGTAACCCTTCTCATCAACAATCACATTATCTATTTGAGGAATGTAGTTGATTGAGACGTCTGCATTGCTTCCCATGATGCACTCAACGTGAATGGCATCCGGTAATGAGATTCCGTTGTCGTTTAATTCACTGTCGTGGGGAAATTTGATCTCATTTCTGAATATAACATGCGATCCCTTTTCCTAAATAGATTCAAAAAGATAATTTAGAATATATATTCACATTTCATTAAAAAACAATTTGGGTACAGATAGGTCTAAATAATCACATTTTCTTATAGGTAATGTTACATCTTTATGTTTGTTACTTTAGTTTGCATTTACCCTTTCGTGTCTAAAAAGTAAACATCTGAACTATTCATCTTGTTATTAGCTGCGCTACACGCGTTCATTGTATCTAGGCCGAGGTCTAAACGTACTGGTACCTAATGGGCAACTCGAGTATGAAGTTTTAATGTTTTTAACTTACATCGGCTACAGTGCCACACTTTCCGTATGCAGCTCCAATGCTAAAGTGCGTTGCGTTGTGACGCGCTCCAACGCAATTTCTGTCCGTAAGAGTTATTTCTTCAGCTTTTATATCACCGAAGAACTTCTTTGCAATGTAAACAATCATGTATGTCTCCATGCAGACAGCTTCGGCAGCATGAACCTCACCGCTAGGAGGAGATATCATTATCATTTCAGGTTGTTGCAGTTCTGCGGCCATTACATCGTCCCATCCTGTGATCACATCTAATGATAAAAGCATTTAGATTGTCTTAAAGGAGATTTCAATGAAAAGTGTATTTATGATTGAAAACAGTATTTAACGTATGCATATCCCGGTTGAGCAAAATTTGGTAAGTAGGCCTTTCATCATTATTACTTACAAGATTCACAGTGCTGTCCAGTGCGGTAGTAGGGACATATGCAGTCATATCCGTTTGCTCTATCTTTGCATTCTCCTTCATTCAGACATGGATTAGACAAACATTCATCACGATCTAAAATAGAAAAGAGGCAGTTACCTTTCAGTAATTTACAGTAAAAATACAATAATGATAATGAATATGATAATAATGATGACGATGGTAATGATGCGGGTGGTGATGATGATAATGACAACATAATTTATAATCATAATAAAGTGTAATGTGTCTAAAACAATAAAAACTAAATCAAAGACAATAACATTTCTTACCAATATCACAATTGAATCCTTCGAAACCTGGTGCGCAGACACAAGCATACGAGTTGACGCGGTCGACGCAAACACCCCCATTTTGACATGGATCCGACATGCATTCATCGATATCTAAAAAATAAGAAGTAGTTACTTAGTTACATTTACGTACAATAAAACGAGTTTATTTTATAAATACGACGTTGCTTCTTTGGTTTCAAGACGAATTAATTGGCATCTTTTATCAGGACATTTTTGGCCTAAATAGTATGTAGACTTGAGATGATGTTTCAATAAAGAAGCGGTCAGAGAAGAAACTTACCTGTCTCGCATACATTTCCGGTGTAGCCCTTGATACAAGAACAGGCGAAGCCATCGATCTTGTCAGTACACGTTCCTCCGTGCTTGCATGGGTTTCCAAAGCATTCGTTAATATCTGAGAAATTGATTCATTTGGAGAAGTCAAAAATTATGTTCCCTTAAAATGAAATCAACAAACATATCCTGGTGGTACAAAAGCCCTTGTTCGGTCTAACGCCAATGACTGCTGGCTGGTTGGCTGGCTTAATATGAAATATTGCTTAAAATTTATGGGGCCAAGAGTCAGAAATTTTATTATTTATGCGTGTGTGATTTCAGTTTTACAGACTGAAATTATAGGCCCTATACAATGCAACTGCCAAATACAGGCAGTTGCCTACTCATGACAAAATGCCGTTAATCATCGAACTGACAGCTGTTCGACTCCAGAAAAAAACAAACAAAAGTCTGTCTGATCATGGAGGTTGGTCTGGCAATGCAAATTATTTGCTATTAAAAATCTAAAGTGTCTTGTTTTAATATAATTTTTTTAATTTTTCACAATAGTTATGTAAATTATTGTTTTCACTTCGAAATCTGATTACACTCCAAAGTATTTTTTTAGAAAGTCTGGGCTTATAATGGCCTACCTGATTCGCAGAACTCTCCCTCGTAACCTGAGGGACATTTGCAAGTCACCCCGCCAACCTTATCAATACACGTTGCACCGTTCATGCAAGGGGTTGACAAACAGTCATCTTCATCTACAAGTAAATAGTTTTTGATGCTAATTAATTGTTGGGCTTGTATATTACAATGTTGTGGCTATATAAATATAACATTATTATTATTATTATTATTATTATTATTATTATTATTATTTAGCACAAGAGGTAGGCCTAAAAACGTATTTGTCTACACTCTACATCACACCAAGGTAACACTCTAAAAGTCATCAATGCAATGGCCTTGTTTAAACTGTATTAATAGTAATAAGTGTAGTTCAGGGCACTTTATCTGTGCATACAGAAATGATATGTGGACTAGGAACTCGTTCCATGACTTTCTTCGCCCCTAAGGGTCCCTTTGTGTCTGTGCTAATCGGTAATCTGATACCAGCTATTCTCGTCGTCCACAGCAGGGGCTGTCTGTTCCAGTACACCGGGGTATCCCTCTACTCGACTCGAATGATGTATTGGGTTCTTTATAGTGCACACAAGCAGTTGTATACACTAGGCCTACGGTTTATAATCCTTATCCGTGAAGACTTGTTCTACCACCAGAACTATAGGCGACAGTACCGCCGATATTATGGCTGTAGATCACGGCGCCCCTGCTAACCGCTCGGCCATTATTCTGTATTTGCCCGTTTACATTTGATTACACTTACTTGCAGCGCAGTTCTTGCCTATGAAACCGGTTTCACATATACAATCATAGCTTCCAAAAGTGTTCACGCATGTTCCACCATTTTTGCACGGTAAGTTGTAGCATTCATTCCGATCTGTTTGTTTATAAGAAAGATATTATTAATTAAAAACAATCGTGCATGTGTTATTAATTAATTTAGCAGTATGGTGTACGTCACCTAAAACCGGGCACTCTCGTGGACCGTCGGCCGACGAACCCAGCTCCACTCCCTGTGAGCGCAAGACGACGTCGCGACGCCGTCTGCAGATTGTCAGCAGCAGTCTGAACGGATCGTCGTGGCGTTGCGTTCTCCATAGAATCGCGTCGACCGACGATAGTCGCGCCCGGTGAGTGCCCGGCTTAATAAGCAACTTCACATCAAGCCCGGAGTCCGGTCAGGAGTCCGGAGGAAAAATCGTGAAAAATGGGTTCAGTGGTAAAGAATAGGACGGTTCACATCAAATTCGTACGATTCCTGAACCGGACTCCGGATCCGGACCGATGGATCTGAGAGCAATTTTCATCCTGAAATCTGAGATTATTTTTCTTGGACCAATCAGCAACACGATTGGTTGGTTCGAACCAATCGAACGCATAGCCTACATACTTAACCCGAACAACCGTGTTCCGTGCGCGATGTGAACGCAGCGTTCGAAAAACGTAGCAACTCCCGATTTTTTGTCCGTGCTCCGGACCGGAACCGGGCTTGATGTGAACGTAGCTTAAATATAAGAGCAGAACACCTTTAGGATGCTATGAATAAATGCCACGTAATACCTCTATTACCAACCCAAATCAATGAAGCTTTTAAATGTTCTATAGCATTCTAAACCATTTTGTGTTTGCCAGTGGTTTTATGAAGAGGAACGTTGATAGTCTCCTCGGACCCAATGATGCGTAAAAAACTTGAAATGCTGCTTACCATTCTGACAAAGCTTTCCCTTGTAGCCTTCTTTGCATTTACATTTGAAAGAATTCATTTTGTCGACGCACTCTCCACCGTTCTGACAAGGATCTGATTCACATTCGTTAATTTCTACATGAAAGTAAAACACGCATAAGATGTATACGTATATATATTATGTATATATAACAGAAAACGTTTGCTCATTTGATTTTATGGACCTATATTAGCGTTTCCATGATGAGGATGATAATAGTATGTCTATGTCATGATGTAATATAATGATAGTTATGATGATAATAATAATGATCAAGATTAATATACTGACAGCATGACAATAATAAAACAACACTAAAATTTTAAGAATAATAACATTTAAATATTAAAAAATCTAGCAATTACCTGTTTTGCAGTTAGGCTGGGCATACCCACGGGCACACTCACAGACAAACCCATCAGCCTGGTCAATGCAAAAACCCCCATTTGCGCAAGGAGAAGAGTCGCATTCGTTTATGTCTATTAAAAAAACCAAACGTAAAATAATTTTGTTGTGTCAGTCTAAAAGAAATAATAATTCACAAGATGGTGTGGAAATTTATTGTGAAAAGTTGTGCAATGCCAATGCATACAAAGTATGTCCATCATCAATCCTACTATTATCACCGAAGAATAAAAGTAAAATAGAATATTATTCTCATAAATACTATGGTTTTTAAAAGAAGTTTTGCATTGTAATTAACAATTATATTAATTAACGATGAAATCTTTCAACATTTTTCAATTAATTAAGGTATTTTATAAAATGCCGCCCTCACTTGTTTCACAATAGTAACCGCTGAATCCAGGCGCACAAATACATTGGAAATAATCCGGTTTATCTACACAAGTGGCTCCATTTTCACACGGTTCAGACGCACATTCATCAGTATCTAAAAATATAATTATTACTACACATTCAGATTCATACAAGTGCAAAAATAGCAAGTGTCCAAAATTTGAATAAATTTAAGGGAAATAAAATCAACGGTAGAAAAGAAAATTATCAAAGATGACAAATTTTTATAATCAAACAAAGACTTTTGGAGAATGTATAAGAACACACGTTTAATTTTAATAACATTTTGAGTGAACTATTTCCACGTGTCACATCTCCAGAATAAAACAAGCATTCAAAGTAATTTAAGGTGAGAGACAACAAAAAAAGTTGTTAGGTGGTGACATCTTTCATTCACCTTATGTTTATTGATAAGCAACGAACCAAAGTGAGAAAAATGGAATGCTTCTGTTTCTCTAAGACCTGTACACATTCCATTCCAATGCAGACAATTACTTGAACTTAAATTTACTTAAGTGAAAGGTTCCGACTGTCGACTGTCAGTAATGACAATTTTAATTCTTTTGTCGAAAAGTATTCGTGTGGTTGCTGAGTTGGATCTTTTTGATATCTTACCGATTTCACAAAATTTGCCCTCGTAACCCGAGTTACAAAAGCACATAAACGCCCCGGGAAGATCAACACAGTAACCGCCAACTCCACAAGGGTTTGAAGAGCATTCGTTCAATTCTGAAATGAAATATGAAACAAGATCACATAGTTGCACCTTTAACCAATGCTAAATTTACTACATTCTCACATTTTTGACACGGCGTTATAAAACTTACATCTACCCAAAATAGAATAGACTTCCAGAGTGTCAGTCAAACTTAATTGGCCAATCCAGAACAGAACTAGGAATACGTGCCATGTCTCACAAATACACGTGCTGTCCTATAAATGCAGGTGTTTACATACGTTTACGCTGTCGTTTTGTGTGAACTTAGCAACACAATCCAAGGGGCAGAATTTAGCAGAATGGTCCATTGTATACGCAATTGTGGGCAACATAGATATATTTCCGATATTTAGACAGTCACCAGATTTAATAGACTATTTTATATGTTCAAGTAAGAACAATGAATCTGATAAAAGTATGATGGAATCAAGTTTAGACTATTATCAAGATTAAAACCAAATGTACATTTTAAATCATTTACATCTCACAGGACAACATAGTTTCGTTTCGATGTAAACCAATTGTGGTGTAATTCATACTGTAACTGACGAACCAATGAAGGAAATAACCAATAAGCAGATAGAGAGAATGAAGAATTAAAAACCTGATTCGCAGAGTGTCCCAACGTATCCATCGGCACACTGACATTCGAAGCTGTCGACTTTGTCAATACAACTGGCACCATTTTGACAAGGAAGTGACCAGCATTCGTCATTCTCTGAAATTAAATTTGAATTTTATAAGAAAGAACATTTGAAAATATCCTTATTGCTCTTATTATTATACACGATGATATTGGGAGGTGTACATTTACCAGTCATAGGCCTACATAGATGGGGGAGGCCACGATTATTTAATTTAGTGCAGAGGACTGAATGAATGTTGTTACTTTGAAGAACCACTCTCTGGGAAACTTTACTGCCGATCAACCCATACATAAATTCATTTATGTAGAACTCGACCATAATTTTAAAAGATAATTCAATGTCAACTCATGTAACCCAACTTATTTCGTATTATAAAGGTAAAGGTAAAGGTAAAGGTATGAGAATAACCCATAACTTGCAGCGTCATTGTGCTGAATTGCGTATGGGCGTGGTCCGTGACTACCTAGCAGCCGTAAAGAGGCGCTTCTTGGTAGATACATGTTCACATCATTCCACAACGACAGGGGTGTCTCTTATACACATCCTACTCTTCCGAAAGATGCAATGGGTTCTTTAAAGTGCACACGAGCCAGATGTATACACTGGACCTCCATTTTAAGTCCTTATCCGAGAAGACTTGGTTCTACCAACCGAACCATGGGCGAGGAGCGGATAATATCATATTATAATTTCTATCATCTAGCAGGAAGTAGCCTATGGTTATGTTAAGAATTAACACTATCGTACCGTATTGTGTCAGGGACGGAACATTTAGTGAATTGTAGGCCTATTTACAGTGAATGAGAGCGGAAAATTGACTGCTTTATCATTTACGTTTACACTCACCAATTAACCAACGATCAAAATAGTCTTAAAAGATATGCACCATAAGTTTATTGTAAGCATTCAGTCCCAAGAATGGAATCAACCAGAGCGTAATATGCGGGCTCGCATTGTATGTCCTTTATTGCCTCTTTGTTAATGTTTAACAAAGACGCAAAAAATCAAATCTACAAGGTTGACTACGATCCAGAGATCTGAACGATCCGAGTTAAGGAGAGAATTGTTAGCCTTTTAATTCGAGACCCCTTTAATTCTAAGATTCTAATAATTCGGTTACACATGTTTGAAGTACCAAACTAACAATCTTTAATTTATTAACACAAAGCTAACCCTCAAGTAGAGACCGAACCTCGAGATCACCCCATATTTTCAGGTCCCAAATGTGGTCTCGAATTTGGTGGGGCGAACTGTTGGTCTATAATTTTCTGAGGCTCACATGACAGAAATGTTCAACCTAGTTTTTTTTATATTGTGACATTTAAGCAGATATCTGTATAATTATTATTAAAAAGAATTGCAAGCCATACCTTTTTCACAAGTGTTACCGGTGAACCCTTGTAAGCAAGAGCAGGAGAATGTGCCAACGCCTTCATGACATGTCCCTCCGTTAAGGCATGGTAAAGCAGAACATTCATTAATATCTTTGAAAAAATATTAATAACATAATTTAAGTGCAAAATACTATTACTTTCATAGGTGGACACATTTTAGACGATTGTTCATTATAAATTCCTTTTCTGCAAGAAAGTGGCGGATTTCCGTTAACTTAAATAGGCCTATTTTTTTAGAAGTGGCCAATGTATTTTAATTGGGAGATGTTAATTAAGCAACAATTCATTTCTCTTTATAAATTTATTATCTATTATAGTATTAGGCAAAAGTACGAATTCAGAACTTTTAAACTAAGAACTAATTTACCTTCTTCGCAGTGCTTTCCCTGGTAACCAGGTATACATTCACACTCATATCCTTTTTCCAATTCTACACAGAGGCCTTCATTTTCACACGGACTCGAATTACAATGTTCAGATGCTTCAATAAACAAAATAATCTGTTAAAATGTTGTTAACGTAAACTTTTAGTATAGACATACAAAGTACAATATAATTGTAACGTCAATGCCCAATGACAATAGTATACAATAAATAATAATGTAGATGATGCAAGATAGGCCTATGTACAGGTACCCTTAAGTAGGGCAATCACTGCGTCGTACGACGGTCTACGATCGAACGTTATATAACGAATCCAAACGCTCCCCGTGAGCGTTAGGCGGCAGACGCCGTCTGCTGATTGTCGGTGGCAGTCTGTACGAATCGTCATTAAAAACGATCTGTTCTGCGAGCGTCGTGGCGTTGCGTTGTCCAGGATCTCTTTGGGCCTGCTGAGTGCCCGGTTTAAACAAAAAGCCACAGGCCTTACCTGTGTTAAACATCCAAGACCAAGTACCAACGGATACGCATTTGCTGTTTATTCTGCTGTAGCGACTTGCAGTTGGAAACACTTGAAGAAAGTATTTCTTTTCTCCTCTGAACTCTACGCCCTCTGTTGAAATGACCATCGCTTTTGGATCGTCAGTTGGGAATGTCACGAGATCAGATGTTGCTGGTTCAACCTCCAACAGGAATTTTCCCGAGCGCTTGACAATTTTCACGGCAGCTGGAGCTGTATCCCTTGATATCTGTTATAAGAAAGGAATATTAATATTATGGCTTAACAAACTGTTGGAACTGTAGCAACTAGTTGCCATCGTGAGACGTTAATGGAACTGTTCCATCCGTTCGAAGATAATAATAACATAATTGGATCGTTATTTACAAATAATCGTCATCTTCATCCTCACACTCATTACAATCATCATCATCATCACCATCATAATCAGCCGTCATTTATACTATAACTTACATCCTTGCTAAAGCGTATCGTAATTTCACTTTTTCTAGCTGAGATGGTAGCCTCTGGTGAAGGGTCAGATAACATTGGCTTTATTTCCACCATTTCTCCTATAATAATAAACAAACAATAACTTGAATATAAACAACTCATTACATACGGTATAATACTGTACGACAACTAAACTACAGTAAGCCATACACGGACGTATAGGAAACCATTCTGAAAGTTGTTTAATGTTTTTGATTTTTGTTAAATATAGACTTCTTAATTACCTATTGTATCTATGCTAATAGGCTAATGTTGTGGAATATAACGTGCCCATTGGTCTGATTATCCAATGACCCATAACATTTGCAACGCAGATGACTTGTTATCTTCTTCCATCCGATTGTAAATTCATAAAATTTAAATTGTTTATTTTAAAGGAAATAATATTTAAATGAATGTTTTAAACGACATGTTTCGACGTGTCCCACGTCATCATCAGGCAATAGCGCTGTGCTACTGACGGCTTAAATACTGCCGGTCAGATGTAAAGTGAAAACAAGCAAATATTAAGGTTAGTCATGTATATAGAGGTCAGGAATGCTATGGTCATGTATATAGGATTTAGAATGAATTAGAATGAAAGAGTGATATTGTAACTAGTTGTTTGTTTGTTAAGTGACGGATTTCCCCAAGCAATAAAGGGCTTCTTTTATTTTAAGTTGATAAGTGTTGGTAAATAATATTTACCAATGTTTTGAAAGAAAAAGTTTATACAAGATCCATTATTAGAATTACGATGAATCATGCAAACATGGATAAAGTCTTGACGCCAGTTTAAGTTGGGAAATAACTACTTAAGCCTCAATATTGACAATAACACTCGCTTTCCCCTCATAATTTTATCGTAACATAACTACATTTGGTGTTAGGATTAAATGTTCTTAAATTCTTTCCCACGGAACTACATCATTGGTTAATCAAATAGGTCGACATAGAGGAACCATAAAAGGAAATGATCTTACTTATAATTACTAGAGACATACACGTCTGGTCGCTTGCCATCCTAAGAGGAAAATAAAACACAATCAATATAATACAATGACGTCTAAATATACAATATATATATATATATATATATATATATATATATATATATATATATATATATCTCACTAATATTATTTATTATTTTTATAATAATAGGTATTATTATCATTACTGTATCTGTAATTAGCAGCAGTACAGTATATGTCTTTCTATCATCTGATGTAGGGATATTATTTCTTAATCTCGACAACTATGTAAATTTGCATCAACTTTGAGTTGCACTTTCATTCTTCTGCCTACTCTTCTTTTCGCTCCCATTCTTCAATTACATCCTTTATTAAACCAATTTCCTCTCGTGACACATAGCGCCTCCAACGCATGTGCATATCAGAATGAGGTAAAGCTAAGTAGGTTAGGATGTGCCGTCACTGAATTTTCAACAATGTTTTGCATTATTAGTTTAAGGTATTTAGTGTTTCTGCCTAACATTGTGTATTAAAGAGCATGCGCTGTTAAACTACTCCTGTACCATTCAGTAGAGTACACAATATATAGTAATACTGAAGAGGGGGGGGGGGAGAGAAAAAATAAAAGTAATTACTCTTGTAAGTCTGGTATTTATTGGTACATCGGGTTATTGGTACATACCTTTTCAAAATTGTACAACATTAACGTAGACTTCCTATTATCTTTGTACAATGTGTATATAAATCTTTTTTCCCTTTTATACGTTTAATTGTTGTGACAGTATTTTGTGTGCACAATGAACTTACTTCTTGCTGTCTTTGGCGTAGTAGCATAGAATTTTCTCCCCAACCTGGTCAGCTGTCGGTGTCCACGTGATATTAACAAAGTAATCCGTTCTTGAACCGGGTAGTTTCATTAAAGGTGATTTCTTCATTCCAACTGGAGAGATAGTCTGGATCTCCGTAATACTACAGCAAATTGAAGATGGTAAAAATGAAAAATAGTAATCCATAATCACAATATTTTTTAACAGTAACAAAACATTAACAACAACAGCAAAAGCGCAACAACAATAACAATGGTAAAATAATAAAAACAATATTATTCCTAACTCACTTTAGGCATATCTATTCAATTTTTCACCGGTAGTGTGTTGTTTAGCATTGGCCTATAAGTTCTACACCTAGGCCTATATATTAATTTCCATACTCACCTAATATCTGGACTACTGCTGCGGGCGATAAGTTGGGTACTGAAAGTCTCTCCAACCGGTACAACGTAACAAGCACTGAGGGCACTAGGCTCGACGAAAACAGGAAAGACATCGCAATTGGATTCTGAACAAAAAAATTAAACATTAAATTTTAAATATAGGCCTACCAGACTTTTACTACAATAGACCACAGCTGTGGCCTTACCACTGAGTTGGTATCAGCATGGAGAATTTAGTTTCCCGCAGTATTAATTAAACCAAAAGGATATGCTATTCAGCTGCTAGGATTACGCGTATGTCCCACAAACTTAAAGCTACAAAGGTTACGATACTAGTTACGTACCGGTACGTTTACGCACACCTTTGAAACAATAGGCAAAGGGTTAGTAGAAAGGCACGTTACAGTTATTCAACCCTATATTATAGTCGTGTTCAGCATTAACACAACACAATTACATTAGTATACATCGGAAAATAGATTATCTATATGCATACCTACTATAACCTATAACATCTAACCTAGTATGTCTTGTATTACTGTACTATAATTGGAATGAAAGTATAAAACTACCGCTGTGTATTGAATTAACTAGGCTATCACGCTATGTATCTCCATTCATTACCGTATCTCCTTTAAAAAGCGATTCCTGTAAATACTAGATCGAGTCAAACGTTATTTTTCCTAAAGACTTTGTCCAAGAAAAAAACTTTAGGGTCGTAATACAGCATTGAAATGGATCGTAAATGATTTACCAGTACAGTATAGCAAAAGTTCGTAAATGCTTACACATGGCTATTAACACGGATCATGATTGTCTCTATAGATCACTGAAAACCTGTTTCAATGATTTAACTCTTTTGTAGAGGTGCAAATGTGGATGTTGATTGTAAGGAAAAAATGACGTGTTAAACAATTGTTGTATTCTATCCTGAAGATAACAATCGTGTGCATGGGTTAATACCGCACTTATGGTTCGTAATTTCATACTTCTAAAACTAAACACTTCTGTTGCGAAACACCTTTTTAAGGGCTGAAATTTTACTTCTACGCAAACATTACTTTGTTATTTTTCGGCACTACTTTTAAAAGATCTGTTTTATCGAATGTAATTATACTTCATTGTAATATCTATTACTTTTTAATGTATTAATTTTGCTACATCAACAATCAAAGTTTCGCAGGTTCGACGAAGTTTACAATCGGGATACGCGTAAGACCAGCATGCATTATCTTAAAACGAGTTTTGTGATAACCATCATGGGTTTGGTTTAATGAAGAAAAAAAAACATTTTAGAAGAATAGTACAGTATAATACTAGGTGTGTTGGATAACAAAGTTAAGTGTAAACCTACGTGCTTATCGTAAATACATTTATGAAGTTTTCCTTTTCGAAATTGACCCTGTCTTGAACCTCTCGTCAATATTATCCACTTTACGGCTTTTGAACGATTGCCTAAGTATGCTGAAATTCCTGACAAGTTGATTTAGATGACAAGTGATACTGCATCACTATATTTTATGATCGACACACCGATTACAAAGTCACGTTTTACGTACATTCTGTGATTTAACCTTTCCTTTAAAGTTTTCCTTTCCGTTTAGGTGCCTCCCGTTATACGGATAGGACCAGGGAGACCTCCCTGAATAGAGCTATCTAAATTCTAGTTCGATAAACACGAACACTATCAAGCCTAGCCTATCGAAGAAAGGCGTTTCAAAATAACTTTTATATATAACTCTATATAGGGTTATATATTATATATAATATAATAACGTGTAACGGTTTATATGCTGTTTAGAAACACACGTTTGGAGACTTCGTCTTGTCGGCAAATGCTTACAAGACGAGGCGTATCTTAGGTGCCTAATGACCTAGTTGGTTAAGGCGTCTGCAGAGAGGTCCAGGGTTCGATTTTTGTTTGGGGCACCAATTTTGTTCACATTCGCAGATTCCGCTTTAACGTTCAAAATTCATTGATATATATTTATAGCATTATATATATATATATATGAAAAAGACGTGTCCACATGTGT